CTAGACGATGTCAACTCCACCCCCCCCCCCCCCAGCTTTTCACATGCATTATCACATAATAGAAAAATGTTATCTTAAAAGCAGAACTTGACAGAATGAAAATAATACTTACAGGAGCACTGTCATGTTCCACAGAGAAATTGCACACAATCCATGTTTCAGGGTCATTTTCATTGAATGCTGGTATCTTTCTGATGGCAGACAAATACAGCACATCCCTTTGAGAAGCTGGCCACACCCTCTGCAGAGAAACACCTGAATATTATTTGCAAAACTGGAAAAGCTTAAGGACTTACTATTCTTAGATAAAGGAAAAACAAGCAAGGCAAAACAGGTCAGTCATGTTATTTAAGTAAAGGTTTCTTCAAGCTAGTAATTTCATTTTCAAAACTGAAACAGAACATAGCTGTTGTACAGATGCATATCAGGTTATAAGGCTATGCTTCATTTTAAAAAAACTTAAGGCACAAGTTTAAGGCCTTTGAAATGCAGGAAGCCAAGCTACAATGACTTTTTCAGTAGACGAACAGGAAGAGGCAGTTCCCCTCCTGTTCCCCCCATCTCAGGTTTACATTTTAGTTAATACTTGTAAGATACAAACTGAACTAGTGGTCAAGTATAAATAGATGCATCTATGGTTACTTAAGTCTCCAGAGAGAAAGCAAGCAAGGGAGAGAAATATTTAAAACAAACATTATTTCACAAAGCTACTACTTCAGTAAGGCAGATAGGGTAAACTGATATTATTCACAAGAAAGTTTCAGAAGCAAAATGTCTGGTAAAATAAGAATACACAAAAGCCATTTTCCTGACACTCAACAGGGGAAAAAAGTCTAGCTTTTACCACAACACTGTACAGTTTACACAACTGTCTTATTCAAAATCACAAGTCCTCTGTTACAAAAGTTTTAAGGTAACTGCATTACTGGTAAAATTGTCAAAGAAAAATATTTGGTTTAATATTTGAGTATACTAAGACTTGGAATCATGCAAGATTAAAGATTAATCTGTACACTTCATTCCCATTTTTTTGAACCTTTAAGTTACAGTTATTGGGTTATAATTCAAATGAACATTTTAGTAAAGCTACAACAGAACTGGTTGTGGGGGGAAAAACAATGAAGTTACAAGAACAAATGTTGTACCAGTAATTATACCACCTCAAAACGCAAGTATGTATGTCAACTAATTGTGGTCAACAATAGCTTGCATCATTGCAACAAAACATATGATACAGTGGTACAGGTTTCTTCCTTGTAGTCAGTATTGATTTATTGCTTCTGTTAGCTTTATATGATTCTTGCTTGCTGGCAGTGATATATTTAGAGATTAAAAACAGTCCTCATTTGTTATTACAAACTATCAGACACATGCACAACCAATTACGCTATCAAGACAAGTTAGAAAAATTACAAAGTTGCAGTTTAATAGAGAACTTGTTCTGAAATATTGTTCTGAACAGTATTTTAAGTTGTTAAGCCATTAAAGTATTTCAGAATAAGATTAGAACATATATGCCCCAGACTGTCTCAGTAAGATAGACATACAGCTGAAGTGTTATTACCTTATGTGTCTGGTAAATGATGATTGCATTATCAGCTAAATTTTCCACAACATGGAAATTTTCAATTGTTGCTAAAAGAGGGGGGGAAACAAAATCCATCAGTAAACAAGTACAGATATTAGGTCAATGTTATAAATACCACCCTTGCTCATAAACATGAAAAGCTTAAGAACCAATTCCTTACTTTCCCAGTCATTACGAACATCGACATTCCAGAAGTAGTGGCAAACTTCATGCCCTGTTACCCCTTTAACGGCATGGGTTGCTTTCAAAGGATCTAAAACTATTCCGTTCTCTTCCACCTCTCTTCTGTATACCTATAGCCAAATACAAAGAAAGAAATGTACAAAGAAATTGTCAAAACTGTTCATGTTTTAATTGTTTAAAATTTCATCAGTTTTTAAAAAAAACCCACTTACCTAGACGACTAACACATGAACAATTTGCCACATCAGTGTTCTCTGGCAATTACCAATGCAGACATTCTTATATGGCAATGCACATTAAAATACCAGTATTTTAAGAATCTCTACTCGAAAAATGGTTTATTTATCACTATGCACAAGGATCCATATAAGCACAGTAGAGCAGCCAACAAAATAACTTGCTACTCTATAACATTTTTATACATCTAATTTACACATCATTTTGATACCAATTAGGAGAGAATGAAAAAGGAATCTGCAAAGATAAAGCTATTGCAAGAGTTACACAGCATTTTGTATGAATAAATATGTTAAAAGATGCTGCTCTTGCGGACTCCAGTCCTAACTTAAACAATGCTATTCTCAGAGAGAAGTTTTAATAGCATAACTTGCTGAGTGATGGTATTCCCAGAAAATCAGACTCATTTAGGTTGGAAAAGACCCTTAAGACTGAGTCCAACCATAAACCTAACACTGCCAAGTCCACCAGATGGAAAGTATCTATCTTCACAGTGTATCATCTTATATCAATTAAACAAAGTCCCAAACATTTACCTTCATTTCTCCTTCTTCTACCACTAGCTGCCAATTGGCATCTCCTCCTACATCTTGCAAAGAATATGTCATATGGTTTTGTACCATCTCTTCCACCTTTAAAGGACAAAAAAAAACCAACACATTTTCAACTCATTCCTTTCATCTTCTTGGGCAGACACTGTACAGTACTGGAAGCCACAAGTCAATACTTCAAATCCTGCCAAGAACTGAATTTGGACAGCAGAGCTTTCTATTATAGGTTAAGAACAAGCATATACTTCTGGCCTTCAGAAACAAAAGCCAAAATCTTGATTCAACTTCCAACTTCATTCTTTATGTATGGGTACTTCCCATCCATTCTTCGCACCTCTAAACTGTCAAAACTCACTATATTTCTACCTAAGACAGTTTTATTTCAACATATAGGAACTTACTTCAGGTATCTCTAAATAGAATTACAATGCACTGTAAGATATTCACTGAAGAGCATTTAAAAAGCTGAACAAAGGCAGGGGGGATGGGGAGGAAAGCAGATCAGCTCTAAAGTGAAAGCATATCAAAAGTCATATTGGAAGAGCAGTGAAGGAAACGGTCATGAACAAAGCATGCCTACTCTGTTTCACTGGCATCTTTGCACAGTTGCCAGCTAGAAAAAAAAACAAACAGAAATGCTTACATTCAAAAAAATTATGATGATACAGAGACTCTATTATAAAATACTAATTTAAAAATTATTTAGCTAGACAGGTGTGTGCTTTTCTTAAAGGCCAAATAGTTGATACATTTTTATCAAGCTATGTGAATACCTCATTTTCTCACTCCATATAATGTGCATGAAAATGGGTGCTGGGACAGAAAATGGATTTTTATTTTACATCTACAATCTTACTCTGTTCCTTTGGTTCCCCACCCCTTTCCAAATCCCACTCTCCCCCACACAAAAACAAAAGCAAAAATCTAAGGTATCCATTGCTGCTTAATGTTTACAAGTACTGGAAACATTTTAATAACTTTTTTCCACCCAAAAGGTAGGTGACTACTAAAACTTGTCACAGCAAATAAGTCGCATGATTGACACTATTTTCCTCAATTACTAGAAATACTTTTTTTTCAAAAGGAAAACCACTACAAGCAAATGTTAGTTAATTGATCAATACAAAGATTAGTCCAAGAAGTACACAATCACAAGATTAATAGCCTGAACCGATAAGTGATTTTGCACAACTTACAAATATACGAAGCCTAGTGTGCCTGAAATAACATAAACCATATATTTGAGCAAGTATTATAACAAGTAGAAAGCAAAATTGGAGAAACTTAATGATCTTTTTATGATATGATAAAGAATTGAGAGATGTTATTTACTTCTAATTTAAAGCAGTAATTTTGTTTGTACTATGTACTCCATGGGCAATACTTAAGACCAGGAAGAAAAAAGGTAATTGAATCAAGTTAAAATCCTCAAAGTACAACATCAAAATACAATCCATTGGATGGAAATTTTAGTTCATCTTATTTTAACTACAGACTTCTCTAGAGAAGCAAAACTTATCAGAGTCCAGTTTTGAGGGTTTTCTTTGGGTTTTGTTTTGGTTTTGAGTTATAATGAACTAAAAATACCCACAAGATTTGTATTTCTGCTTCTAGATGGCCATCATTTCCTGCCAGTTACCAGCAGGTTTCCTACAAAAGATTCTTCTATTTATTTTTTTCCAGTGAAACGACAACAGTACAATCCAAACCAGGTAAGGATGTGGGCTATTTAAATATTAAATTTACTAGCTCTAGGTCACATTTCTTTCTGAAAGGAATCCTCGCCATGCTCCCAACATTTACTTGCAGCACCTTCAGCTCCCTATGTCTCTTCTCCCCTAGCTCCTAATCTATTAAGGATGAAGCTAACTTTATGTTTGTTTTGTCTTTTGCTCCTTTTTGCTTTGTGATAAATGCAGAGGGATGAAGGGAATAGCAAGGAAAGAAGAGAAGGCGGCATTCACAGGAGTGCAATCTAAACAGTTTCTTACTTCTGCTTCACCAAGGAATTGCACTACTACTTCCTTGCGCATACTACCTCTTGAGACTACATAATCTACACGCTGGTTGCTGTCGGTCAACCTGCGCCTATTTCAGAGACACAGAGTCAAGATTCACAGCTTCTTTCCCACAGGGAAGGGAGGCCACACTATTACCTCTGGGTTCCTGGTAGGCTACGGGAATGGTCTGCAAAAATACTTGTAACCTGTATACCATGCAGCCTTGGCCTGAACATTAAGTGGGAAGTTCTTCACTTTAAAGGCCCTCAGAACAGCAAAATCTATTTTAAAAATCTGATAGTCCTTTAAAAGAAAGTGATCTGCAAAACATCTACAGTGTTTTAATCCCACAACCTCCCACTCAACTGGCAGAGACAAATCAATGCCTTTCTAGAGGCACACTGAAGAACTAGCTCCCATCAGAATACATGTTTATATTTCTCAATCTTAAAAACAAGGCTGCAAGTTTCCACTTGACCTTTTATCAATACCAAAATTCCCTTCATACGAATGAAGTCTAGAAACAAGTCACATTCATTCCGACTCAAGATATTAGCTTGCCTTTCCAAAAGTCAAATCCTCAGCCTGGGAACAGAGGCCAGTTTCATATTAACAAGGTCCAGAGCAGGCTACCACCAAAAGAAGGTGTGCTGCTCTTCTCTTCATGGTCTCAGTTGTCTTTCACCTGCTTGTTCAGTAGCAACAAAGCTCCAGAGCAGATGGACTGACTTGTTGACCTGGCAAAAAATTGTTCTAGGGGAAGTATCTGGAGGTGTGGGTGTGTGTGTAGAGTAGTTTCCCGTAAGTCAAGATCACCCTTTCTGCAGTGAGTCCATTAACTTGAAACTGCATTCAAAGGCACCCACTAGTAACTTCTACATAGTATAATCCATGCAGCAGTTGCAAAAAGCAACAACTTGACTCCAGTCCATTTGATCCTGATCCTTAACCTCAGTTTGCGTTATTGTGGTAAGGACCTGGTCAACCTCAGATTTGTTTTTAAATGGTTAGTTTTTCAGCCACGCTATTGCTCTGATACTCAGGTTTACCATATGAATGCACAAATGTTATCACAGGCATAAAAGGTGAAAATAGGAGGTCTGCGTATTTTAGCAACTATGAGTTTCCCTTGTATGGAACTGCCCATCTACCCATAGCCTGACAGGTAACCAGTTCCTATCTTTGGAATCAAATTTGCTTTCTATTACTTGATTTCCTCCCATCCTCCCAAACAAGAACAAACACAAAAACCTAACTTGACTACTAGAGTACCAGTAGATGAGCCTATCAGTATTGTGCAATATGACCTGCATACTTTTTCCCTTGTGATAAATTCAAATTTCAGAAATTAACTGACTGCAAAAGGTCAAGGCAAGTGTTGGGATTTCAGTCCAATAAGCAAGTCTAAATGTTAGGGTCCTGCTCATAAAGCTGATAGTAAGGTCTGCAGGTGGTACAATTCCAGGCTCTGTTAATCAAAAGAAAATCCATTCCTTCTGTTTGAAAAAGCAGGCTGTTTGCAGCATGAGTTAGTAATTTCAAAAAACCCTCCAAAATAACAGATCCCAGAAGGAAGCTCCATATTCACAATCACAGGTGGACCACAGCAGAAGGAAACTAATGGCATGAATGCCACGTCTGAACAACTGTTTTTGAGACTAAAGAGCAAACACATGAACTCACCTACCTAATTCTACTCTAAACTATGATCTTCAGAGCAAGCACCTAGAGTAATTTTCTACATTACTGGAATATGTCACTGACTACATTGACATATTCAGGATGCCAGACTTATTTTTCTGAAGGATAAGTGAATGTATTGAAACTCTTCAGTAAAAATTCTCATATCGCCAATCTTGTTTGTCAACAACATACTTTGTGAACTTCCAGTAATAAAACTAGTTGTAGAGGTAAAAAATGGTAATAGTGAACCTTAACATTTAGTATCTTAATGTCATTACAAACAAATGTTAATGACAAAAAAATCAAACCTTTGATTTAAAAGCAAGAAAAACCATTCAATTTGAAGTAAAGACCATCTCCAGCCCACACAAACCAGGTGTTATTCTACTTTTATTATAATCAGAAATGCAAAATTTTCAAATTGTAGACATTTTTATTAAAGCTACTAAATTAAATCCAACAGTTTCACAATATTTGGGTCTCTGCACAAGTGATACGCATGCAAGCAGAATGTAAAAAGGCAACCATTTAGTACAGGAATAGAGAACTCCTTTGTTTGTCTCAACGTACTAGTTTAAAGCAAGCAGTGATTTATGTAACAAAAAACCCAGGTTCTAGAGAAGAGGATGAAATACAGCAAAGATATGCAACCCCCACTCTACACATTAATACAGTACCTGGGCGCTGAATCTGTGAACATCATCAGAGGCACTGACTAGATCAATGGAAGACATGGAGGAAGAGCGACTATAGGGCTACCAGAGACAGACAAAGAAAAAACCAAGTAATCAGAACAAAGGCACAACAGAGCATTCAGTACCAACTTGCAAGCACAAGATAATGAAGAAAAGGAAAACAAAAGCACCATAAGCAGCAAGCACAGCAGCGAATGCTGATTTCATGCACCTATTATGTATTATGCTCCCAGTGTAGCCCTGAGAGGAGCACAGTGTTTCCAGTAACACTAAAAAAAGAAGCCAACTGATCCTGATAGAAAAGACTGGATTTTTTTTTTAAATAAAATCAATTTAAGGAACTTTGGTGAAGGTATCTTAAAAACACTGACATTAGCAAGTTGTTTATTATTTTATTATCTGACAACCTTGACACAAGTCAAGAGTATTCTAAATAGGTACTCAAATCAGTATTTTTTGAGCCAAGACAGAAAACAATCCTTCTGCAATTTCAGCTACTTAATTTGAAAATGAGTAAACCATTGAAAGTTACTAGAAACACCTAAAAAAAAAATCTCACCTACCCATACAAAGTATTATATAGAAATATCATAGGTCAGCCCATTATTCAGAGGAGATCATGAGAAATATCTTACCTTTTGGACAAATCGATGAGTCCCCACAGCAGAATATGCATCTCCAGAAGGTAAGGATGTTGGCCAGTGTAACCTGACCTTTTCACTTTGGGACTACAACAAAATAGGTTTAATTAGTAGTAGTCAGCTGCTACTGGGTAGACTATGAAACAGTGAGTCATCCTCAATCTACATAGTGGCTACAACAACTAATGCTGTCCATGACAGGCATGAAGGTGTCATCCTGCTGGAATTCTCAGTAAGTGAATGGGCCTGAAGACTGAATTAGTCTATACTTCAAAGTGTATTCCTGAGTTAAGGAAAACAGATCAGCAGCATTAAGAATCCACATAGTAGTACAACAGTCACTCAAACCTTTTACTTTCCACTAAGAGATCCCAACATAGGTAAACTCTGTTGGGTACTATATGCCCACTAGAAAGTCTTTTAATTCTTAACCAAGTCATTGTATTCAATATATTCATAAGCCTAAACATTTTTAAGACAAAGGATGAACCACTTTGTTACTCCCTCTCATTTTATATACTGTTATAGGTTCCCATATTCCATATATTTCCTCCCATGCATCTTATCCCTTTTTGATCCTTGTCACTGAAGTGTATTCAAGAAATGAGTTAGAGAAGTAGCCAGAGCCTATAGAATCTTTAAATAAAAGCAAACACCAACAGAACTACATCCTTCCTATTTCACATACTGCTAGAGTCAAAAGAAACTTCAGAACAATAATTAGGTTTTGAGAAACAGCTGCAGTGTTTGATATTCTTATTTGCACAGGGCATCAGTTACATACAAAGATGTTTTATACAGGACACTTACTTAGGAATTAGAAACCAGAGACATTCAATTAGCTTAACACCTATACTATCCTTTTCTCTGTAAGCTGTGAAGTCATCTTCTCAAAATTAGTGTAAGGCAGCAATATTTAACTGTAAAAATATTAAGTGAATTCCCCTGATCAGTGTCAGAATAAAATATCTAGAGCTTCAGGAGATGCATGCCAGGACTGAGTTTGAGTCACAGAAGTCTCCCATGAAGTCCCCATCATTAAGGCATTTTTCAAGTATCAGTACCTGTTCTTCCATTTTATCCTGTCTATCAAGAGCAGCTTCAACAGCATCAAAGAATTCTTCTTCATTAATCAGACTATTAGGACCCTCCTACAGCATAAGAAAAAAGTAGTTCACAATTTTGGCGACATGAGAGTTCCACTTAAGTTTAGTATTAGAAATACACATTTATATATTATGCGTATAACTGATGGAAGCAAATTTCTTCTATAGACCTAAAATATTTTCACCAATATTCTTGGATTACAATTCCTCTGAAAACCCTACTTGTTAAACGTAAGCTACTCCCTCTAACTACAATTTAGGGATAGTTGTATAAAGAAGAAAAAAAAACAAAACAGGAAACTGAGTAACAATGCCAATACGCTTTGACATCAGATTTAGGTTTTAATTAACATATATCTTCTCTTTAAAATGTTTAAAGTGTGTCAGTAAAGTACACATATTAGCATAATTGTGTAGTTAGACTTCTTCCAAGTATTACAGTGCCTTAGGGCAGATTTCAGATATGTGCATAACAAGACAAGACAAAATTCTGGGGATCTCTACTGAAAATTCTTGGAAAGAACAGTTTAGCACTAAACAGAAGCTAGAGTGAGTCAACTATTAAAAACTTGAGCCTAAGTAATGGTAATTTCAGAAAATTAGGTTTACTGCTTTTACTGTATTGTAAAACAAGCTGGTCCAGCAAATTTCAAAAAACTACTTTACAACAGGGATATCTGGGAGAAGGAGCTGCCTTTATAACCCAGTAGACAAAGACCAACTTCCTATCCATCTTTTTCTTTTACAGCGTATGCCTCAGTCACAACAGAGAACGTAAGCTTAAATAATCTTTTAAATATCTCAACTTAGTACTATTTCTCAGGCTACGATTTCTAAGTAGAAATGTGTTTGATTAATGTACATTAAAAGGTCAAGTTCTTAAAAATTATGCAAACTGCATTATAGGTGCATTAGCTTACATTAAGATGCTTAAACCACTTTCTGAAAAATAAAATCTGACTAAATATCTCACTGAGGAGAAAGCTGCTGAAATATGCAAGTTAACAGATGAAAGGAACCTAAAATCAGTGAATTTGTCAACACAAAATTTCAACTGGCAGTGAAAAGTTAAAAATCAATTAAAGTTAAACTTCAGATTCTAGGACTGCCTCTGGAGTCAGGGTTTTCATATTTGCTTTACGTAACTATAGAGCTGAACCATCAAAGAGAGAAAGTACAAAACTATTGCATATAAGCAGTATCAAATGAACAAGAAAAATAATAAAAAATCAGCAGAAATATCTGCAAGCAAAATGCTTTAGACAAAAGCAGAACATGGAAGCCTGAGGTAAAGAGATTTCCATCAGAAAGTACAAAACTATTGCATATAAGCAGTATCAAATGAACAAGAAAAATAATAAAAAATCAGCAGAAATATCTGCAAGCAAAATGCTTTAGACAAAAGCAGAACATGGAAGCCTGAGGTAAAGACAGATTTCCATCCCTAAAAAATTAAGGACTGAGATTCTTCATCCAGTTTCAGTTTCCAACGTGGAAAAATGAAAGTAGCATGAACACACTTCCACAAGCCAAACACCTTGATTTACACATTCCTTTCTCCCTTTGAGAAACAAACCAATCTTTAAAAGTCATAGCGTTTTCAAAAATTTCAAAAGCTGAATTTGTACCTCGTAGTCTGGCCCTCCAAAGTGGGACTTTTTCTTCAGTTCTGTCACAGCATTTTTGTAGGCTTCTTCAATTCTTCTCCTTTTCTCCATCTCCTGTAAAATTGCATGATCATTTGATGCAGTGAGAATGAATTGACTTGTAACAGTCAACATGCCAATAAATGGAATGACCAGTATAGTTTTTTTTTCCAAGTAACAATTGCAAAGCTGCTGATTTTTTGAATTTATTTGCATGCATGCATTATATGTGCCTATATACATGCATACACAATACAAAGCTTGGGGAGCTAGCTAACTTGAGGATACCTTCTTTAAGCCATGTGGAAGAAACTTGATCAGCAAGCAAAAACTGCTAGTTTTAAGCATAGCTATTCATGGTTCATTGAGGCTCAAACTTTGTATCTGACTGACAGTTTATATAAACCTCCTTGACACAGATGCTTGGGCAGTGATAACAAAGTGGGAAAAGTAAGACTGGTAAAAAGATAACTTGTTGAATGTGGTGAGATACTAATGAGTCACAGCATGTAAGTCTGTATCTGTAATTAGCTGGTACAGGATCAATGTGAATCATTTTGTGAACTCCATGTAGAGACTAACAACTCAACATCATTCTCCCATAATAGGTGTGCGACTGTACTAGAGCCACTGATGGTGTCTGTATCATCGTGCATTTTGAATAAAAAAGTAATAAAGCCAGAATTAGATTAAGTCTAATATTTCCTCTGCAAATTCTACATACTGCCAAATATTCTTAGTGAAAAAGCTATGAAAGCTTCTGAAATTCTTGCAGAATTCAGCTTTAATATGTAAGATGTTTGCTTCAGAATCACTTCAGGTGGAAGAAAGTTAAGTCTTACAGGTGACAACTGGACACCACACACACTACTTGCAGATATGAGTACAACTATTCAGCAACCCAATTTGAACCTTAAAGATTCAATGGAAAATCCTTAAGCAACACTGAAAGGCTGAATTTACCAACTGGTAACATTCTGGAACACATTTTCCAGTTCCTAAAGAAAAGTTTGAAAAGTAAAGCAACAGTTTTGATGTAAAACAAAATAGTATCGCTTTCCACAGAAAAATTCTTAGGAAAAAAAGCAGCACTTAGATCAAGACAGTACTGTCTTTATGTGTGAACGTAGGCTTTTCCCTTCTGAAACTATTAGAAAGAGGCAATAACTGCTAACACCTATGTTTCACAAAATTTTGCACATTTATCTTTTTTGAAAGTAACTGGAGAGTCCTGAAGATCCATAAAGCATGACTTGAATGTAAGTCATTGAGAGAAAGCATAAAAGTTTTACCAGACCACTTGGAATGAAAAACAAACAAAAAACCCAACAAACCACAAATCCTCTTCCTGCTCACCCCAAATCCCCACACTTTCTGTACTTCCATCTGCAAATTAGTGATGTCACATGTGTCAAAAGACAATTCTCCAAATCCGCCAGCTTCTCTTAGTAACAACGTTAAATAAGGCAGAAACGGGAAACTGTTTGACTGCACAGCAGAAAAACTACTTGTGTATTAAAACTCTGTAAAATTTAATGAGACATTTAATTTACAATTGTCAAAGGTGAACAAAATAAGCTACCTAAACATGTTAATCTTAAGGTAAAATTTGATGTTCAGAAGACAAGTTTGCTCATTAATAACAACTAGTAAGACCAAAGGAAAAAAAGAATAGAAAAATATTGCTGTAGTCAAGACAACAAGAAAAGCATCATCACAAGGATTTTGTTGCAAATAAAACAATGAACCAAATACTAGAGATTAAATCCTTTCCATGTTTATCCATTTTAAGAAAAGTCTATTTTAAAACATATTTGAGAGGCTCATACTGAAAAACATACTGTACTGGAAAAATAAAAAGTCAAGCTCAAGATCTTAACAGCTAAGAGTAAAAGGTTGAAAGCAAAGCTGTAACTACAATTACATTTAGATAACATTACATGGTTTTGTACTAATTTTATTCTGTCCATCTGACTGTTTTGGTAACAAAGAAAACCATAGAATTCTAAAATTACAATCATTAAGTGCATTATTTTAGCAGTCTCTTTTAAAATTAAAAGATGTTTTCATAATAATTTCTTGTTTTCAAAGGTTTAGAAATAGTTTCCAACCTTCAAAATGTAACTTAAACCCCTTTTATTAAAAAAAATAAATGGGGTTACAGAGAAAGATACTTCTAACACAGTACTCATCTCTAGTCAAACCATAGTCACCTTCAGATTCAATTCTACTGAACTTGAGCTTTTTGTAATACGAGAAATTTTTTAGGACTGCTATAATTTTGAAACATGTTTGCTTCAAGTCCAGCAGATATAAATCTATCTTGCATCTTTATGCTAAGCTAGCCCTCTACAAGATGGAGGCTGTGTAATTTTGTGAGGTAGCAAGGCCCTTGCTAATCACCTTTGTGTGTTGCTGTTAAGTAAAAGGCAGTTCTGAAGCTAGTGGAGTGAGGAGGCTGGAGAGGAAAGGAGAGTGAGCTGGATTACAGTGGCACTTATAGTACTTGTAAAACACTCACTGATTTTAGCCACTGACAGAGGTCTTATTCTTCCTGTGACAAACCTGTGCAGCGCAGAGCCAGTGGCATGAATCTGCTGACATGCAAAGGACAAACTTGATGCTGCCCCTTTCAACTCTGCTAGATGGTCTTTTACAGGCACTGGACAGACTTAAAAGAGCTCTAAAACCCTTCCAGCTAGAACATAAACACAAACAGCTACCTAATTTCATGTAATTTTTCCCCTCTAATCTCTCTCAGAGAAGGTATTCTGAACTTTTATCATCTCACAGTATTTACTTCCTTTTCAGAGCAGTTCACACATCTATCCAAGAAAACCAAAAGTACAAAGATCAACACCATTCTCCTCCCACATCTATTTATTAGATGACAGAGAAATGTTTTTTTCTCAGGCCCATAGTTATAGACAATACTCTTATAAAACCATGTTTAACCACTAAAACAACAAGATAAAAGAAAAAACAAAAGCAGCTCTACAGCTGAAGCGGAATAGTGTTAGCAGACGCCTGAATACTGTCAACTGCTGTCTTTAAGGGTGTAGGTGTCAAGGCGTTGGTCACGGGGGACTGCAGGGGTGGCCTCTGTGGGAAGAGGCCAGCGGCTGCCCCGTATCAGACAGAGGTGGTTCTAGCCAGCTCTGAAACAGACCCACCACAGGACACAGCTGAGCCCATCCACCATGTGTGCAGTACCTCTCTGAAAACGTATTTTAAGAGCAAAAAACACCCCAGGGAGGGAGGAAGGGGGGACAAAGTGCGGAACAACAGAGGAGATGCCAAGGACAGAAAAGGAGGAGGAGCAGCTCCAGGGCAGAGAACCTATCCACACTGCAGCCCATGGAGGACCTCATGCCAGAGCAGAGGGACATTTCCTGAAGGAACCAGGTTCCCTGGAGGACCCACACCGTGGCAGATTTTTCCCAGAGGACTGCCACCCATGGAGAGGACCTGCACTGGAACAGGGAAAAAGTGTGAGGAGGAAGGAGTGGCAGAGATGAAGTGTTTTAGACTGACTGCAACCCCCGATTCCTCACCCCGCACTGCCTGGGGCTAGCAAGTAGTTGGTAGAAGGGCCTGCAGCGAAGGAGCGAAGTTGAGCTTGGGAAATGGGGGAAGAAAGATGGTTTAGTGTTTGTCTTTTTGTTTCCCATTAACTGGATCTATTTTACATCAGCAACAAATTGATTTTCCCCAAGTCAAGAAGGTTCTGCCATGACAAGAACCAGTAAGCCATCTCCCTGTCTTTCTCTTGACCCGTGAGCTTTCTCATCCTATTTTTTCCCCCTAGTCCTGCTGGATAGATAGTGAGAAGCTGAGTGGGCATCTGGCTGTTAGCCAAGGCTAGCCCACCACAATTCTGTATTATTTAATTCAATAAAAAGCTCTTCTTCCAAAAGGCTACCAATTAGAGGAATACAAATAAAAAGTAATTATATTAGAATTAAATTAATTTACCATGAGTGTGCTGTAAACCCCAGAAAATTTAATTGACAAATGTGACTTTAAAAAAGTTTGAAGTCTACCAAAGCAGAGCAACTTAAAACCTCCAAGTTTTTAGAAGCTTTTACTATTTTAATTTCTGGGAAAACAAGTCCAAATAAGCTTGTGACTCCCTTGAAAAATGTATTTACTCATACTGTGCAAGGTATCAGTCACGTGACACCCAAAGTGAAATTTAGGTTTGAATTTGTTAACCACTTGCAGCTTAAAACAAGTGCTTTAAAGTTAGTCCAGAGAAGACAAAAAAAAGTGACAGCTAACTAAACGAATTCAAATTCTATATTAACATTTTATTTTGTATTAACATATACTAACCTAGGGCCAAGAAAAAATTCACTTCATCCATGCTCTAAGCAAAGTCTGATCAACAAGAGTGAACTGTTTGCTCAGCCCAGCGAAGAGAAGGCTTTTGTCAGGGGACCTAACAGTAGCCTTCCAATACCCCCAAGAAAGTCAAAGAAACTGAGCTAGACTCCTCACACCAGTCTATAGTAGAAGGATAAAAATCAATAGGCAGATACTGGAATAAGAGTTACTGCAGCTGGATAGAAGGAAAAACTTTTTCACTATAATAACACTTGAGCAGCAGAACAGGCTGGCCAGAAAAGTCTCCAGCCTCGGAGACTCGAAACCAGACTTGGTAAAGCCCTGAGCAACACAGTCTGATCTCAAACTGTCCTCCCTGTAAGCAGGAGGTTGGAGAGAGACAGATCTCTTGAGGTGTCTAGTCCAACCTTAATTACCCTATAATTCTGTGAACAAGCTTCAAGTCTTGGATCTACTGTAATTCCTCCAACTACTTAGATGAAGCAGTAAAAAAATTAAGTGTTAACAGAAGTTGCAATACACTTTGACATGTGGCCAACGAAACCCAGGAGAGACAGGGGCAGGGATTCAAACATGGATGTATTTTGTCTGAATGTGCTCATTCTTTGAATCGTGTACCACTAAAACATATAGAGTAAGATTTGAAGTGTGGTATACACCACACGGAAACATGTTAAATGAAAAACAAGACAACAACAGCTAGAGGACTGCACAGGACACCAGCCAGTGATGGAAGGATTCTAGAAATCAAAGCCTGAAGTACAACCTAGCCATGCCTCCAGCACATCTCATGAGAGAAGACACTGCTCGAGTTGCTATAGTGGTTGAATAGGCTTATCATGAACTATCACTGCCATTAGAATAACAGGTATTCTAATACCACACACCTAAGAAATTTAACCAATTAGTATAAAACATGACTTAATCTCATCAATTTCCTAAAGGAAAGAGAAATAATTGTATCTTAAAGAGACATTTAAAGTTAGAACTGCTTGTTCCCTCAGTATTGTCACCATCTCTTATCACAGTTAAAACATTTACACATAATTTTGCAAGCATGGATAATTAGGTCTCTTAGAAGGCTGCAAGCAATATACTTTACTATGGAATACCGTCAGGTTCTCTAGAGATATAAATAATATAGGAATACTATCTGAGCAAGGGCTAGGAAAGACTATGTTACTATCTCACTAGTCAGGATAAGCCTCTAAGATTTTATAGGAGTAATAATGAAAGCACCTGAAAATAATAAATGCTGTACATAAAAATAAAAGCAATACCTGGAATAAAAAAAGTTAACAGCAGCTCATTTGAAATTTCAACTTCAGGCTAAAGAAACTTTTTTTTTCCCCCCAACAGAAGTAAAAGGAAAATGATCTTACCTTATCTAGCCTTTTTTGCCAGCTTTCTTCACGTTTTACCATGAGTTCAATACAATGAGAGAGTGTAGCAAGGATTCCAGCAGTAGTTGCCTTGAAAGTTATAGCTTCTCCTTTAAAGTCTATGCCATTAATTCCTTTGGGTGTCACATGTGGAAACACTAAAACCAAACATGAATCATTCACTGATAGCTGCCTTTAACTCAAACAAGCATCTTACATGTATGCTTATATTACAACTGTTTGAAAAAAAAAAAAAACAACAGACTGGCTAGAAATTTAACTTAAAAATAAAAATCAAAAGTGCTAATAATGTTTAGCTATCCACAGGATAAGGAAAGATATTCAAAAGGAGGAACACATCCCTTCAGCTTCATCTTGCTATACTGTATTTCAAGTCTGCTTGTAATGCTGTATTACTCTGCACTCTGCAAATCATGTGGGTGGAGGGAGTGGTAATACTTTGTAACAATAGCAGTTTGACAGCTTGAAGTGGGGCCTAATTAACACAGAGCAACCTTAAAACATATCTCATACAGCACTAAGAAAGGAACAATTTCAAAATGCAATCAAACCCAAAACGTAACATTCAAGGTTGCTTTAAGCAGGTAATTATAGATTTTAAAACCTCAAAGGAAAAAGGTATGATATAAGATAAAAGTATCAAATGTGTTGAATTATCCAAGTACTGTGGGTTTTGCAGTTCCAACAACTACTTCATGCTGTCAACCAAGCCATCTGTTGCTAAGGCTATTTAAACAAGTCACTTAAAATGTGCGACAAAAAAAGTACCTATTATATGTCAAACTCGTATGTAGGTTGACATAATAACAAATCAAACACTACACATTAATGTCAGAAAATATTAGAAAGCAGAAGTAACACCCATGTTGGAGCTGACTGAGCCCAGCAAGTTAAAGTAACTCCTACTATGCCATGGGGCAAGCTAATGACTTATCACCTAGCTGGATACCGCTTTTTACCCCAGTCTGTCACTTCGTCAACATGCCACTGTTACGGTTTAAAACATACAAATAAATATTTGTGTAAGTTTATCCAATATCTGTCTGCAAGGGCAAAGCAGAGCTTTCAAGCAGTTCAGTTCTTGCAGGGAAGAGAAATGCAATTGCTGTTCTCTAATGGTAGAGCACAGTATCTACACTCCAGGAACAGAAAGCAATCGTCACATGGTCTTAAGCAACTGTTGAAGTCTCTAGAGGTTTTATACACCCTCCTTTCAGAAGGAATCAAACTATTTTTCAAACAGATGATTACAGACTACACGCTACTTCAAATACCTCAATAAGCATCCATACTACAGTAGAATACAGCTTATTTTTTGTTTCATGTTAATCAATACTACTCCCTAAAAGGTAAAGATGATGGGGGCTGGAGAAAAAAAGGGAAGTAAGAGAAAGAAAAATCTGTTTCAGAAACAATAATGAGCAGAGCAGCTCTCCCTCCCCCTAACAGCTGCAGAGGGAACACGGAGGAGGCTGAGACTGAAAATGGTGTAAGCTGGCAAGGAGGCGACGCAGTGGATTCACTGAGAACAACAAAAACTACACAAGAGCTTCACCCATAACATTTTACAACTGAAAAATACAGTTTATACTAATAATTTGTCCTGCTGGTGTAGACTGTGTTCATGTGCAGGCTTACCAGCACAGCTATAATGCTTATAGATGTGATTTTTCTCTCTTAATTATGCAACATACTAGACACGCTGAAGAACCTACCACTGGCTGCAACCCTATAAAAATATTTCAGAAATCTCTATGGTAGATTGTAAGAGGGATGCAGCAACACAGCCTCATTTCCTGGAAAAAAGCCAGCTTTTGTTCCTGGATATCTTTAGGTCTCAGCTACAGCTCATTAATAACTTCCATACAGTTTCAGTCATCATATATTCTAAGTCATTCTTTAATGACTAGTGTCAAAGCAGCAGTGATACATGCAGAGCTTGCAGTTTTAAAGTCAATGTCCATAGTTCCTTTCAGCCATTATAATTCTGGGCAAAAACGAACACATTGCAGAAAGACGCTTCTTTGAAGAGATGGTGACTCAAGAGATTCCTTACAATGGATGGGAGTATTTTGATTCATTCCTAATCACACGAGACATTTGACTTCCCAGAACATGTCAGAAGATTACCTCAGGCCCCATCTCAGTAACAGCTGAGCTTCAGCACGTTAGAAGTATTTGACAGGAGATTTTCTATTTGGAGCGCCTGAACATCTTTCCTATTCCTTTTCTACGCTTTTTTCATGTCAGCTACAATACCGAGTGTTTCAAAATGAAATCTCGTATCAGGAGATCTATATGGAGATATGGAGATCTATATGGTTCAAGGTAAAGGCTAATAGGAAAGTGTTCTTACCATTGCAACTGGTCTTCTAGCTTGGTGATCAAACTGCATGCAGCCAACTGAAAAAAGCATTAGGATGATTTTTCTCCTACTTTAACTTCAATTTCAACATCTTCCAAGTGGTTCCTTTTTAATTATCCTGTCTTTTAAGCATTTTGCTTTGTATTCTGATTTGTTTTCTCTTGCCTTTCTTGTTTCTACAATTCTGTTTGTAACAGTTTCCTAGATGTTCCAAACATCACCTGTTTGATCAAATCTGTTTTCCAGTGAAACAGAATTATTTTAAAGACAGTAAGTATAAAGAAGGTCCTTTATCTTTTCCACTTTATGCCACCTTAACTTCTTATGTCACTAAACTAATTCTAAGTGAAAAAGAAACGTTTGGGTGCATGACCCATTTATTGATACTGTTGTTTATTTTCTGTGGATAGCAGTAGGATCAAAATGATTCATTTTCCTCTGAGAACAACCCCATTATTTCAGCAATACATTGGTGAATACTCTTCCTCCATTCAAAACACAAAAAAACAGCATAAATCCCACTGTGTTTTCCATCAAATTTCTCTCCTTCAGCCTCGGTACCATTCCCATCTTTATAGTTCCAGTGCAAAAACACCTTCTGTCTTCAAAGAGGTTCCTTAAGTAGGTTTCACCTGCTCTTCCTATTCTTACATAACCTAAATCCAAACATGCTCATTTTCGTGAGTGGATGGATGGGAACACTTGCTGATCAAGATTCTATATTCTTAGAATGTAAGATCCCAATGGGTAAATATGCATCAGTCAGATTATCTCTTGGTGTTTTATACAAGTGATCACTGTTTCAGTTACCAGATTTTTTTTCAGTGGAAAGTGATGAATAGATTTAAATACCTTCCTAGTGCTCTTCCCAGCTCTTCAAAGATCCTGGAGAACATAGAAAAGAAAAAGCCTCCCTATCTAAAACATCTTCTTCAGAGTAGTACACAAATCTCTTTAGTCGTATTAACTTTCTCCTCCCACCCAGGAAAGGTGGGGAAGGGAACAAATTTCAAAAGACAATGTGAATATGGTCCCTTAAGTCAGTCTTAAACCTAATGATTTGAGCATTAGATTGGTGCACTAGTGGTTTTAACAGTAGGCTCAAACTCTCCTTCTTATCATAGCAGGCTAAATAAGATGTTGAACCCATGCTTCTCGCTTCATGGAGCACTGACTGCAGAACAGCCCCAGAATAAACAGGCAACCACTTCTCAGCTACAGTTAAAAAGATTTTTCCAGTCCTTCCAGGACTGGATAAAGACTTCAAGAAGGGAACCTGAAATTTGAGAAGCCAAAGAATCTTAACAGCTGCTCTGAGCCTAAGCTTTAGAAAAGGGTGAAGCTGAAGATAAATGTTTCATTATCAGTTAGCCTGAGTAGTTTTCTGCCCAATACATGGGCAGGGCTGTCTCAGCCTGAGATATCTACTTCCCCCACTGCATCACTTATGACTTATGATTCCACTTCAGGGCTGAGACTAATTTTTCATTTCTAATCAAGCTTTGCAGCACTCAGCTACTAAATATTTAATGGATTTAGCCCTTAGAAATCAAACTGAGACACAGAAAAACTAAAATGGAGATAAAGCTTTTCATAGAAATAATTGACACAAAGTAGATTTAATGGAATCAGGAATCATAACAACTGGAATTAGAAGTTCTGCAAAAAGGAAGGGGTTGCAGAAATTACTTTCTGTAGTGAGCTACAGTAAGTGAGTTTATATACAGGTAGCCATAACACATAACAATTTCTTAGCATGCAAGTTCCCAAAGACTTGATACAGAACTTTTTACAAGAGGAATATTGATATCACTTCACATTCCTGTTAAACAGGTGATGAAAAAAAATGAAGTCACTTACTTTGCATTTAAACGTTCTAAGATGACCAGATGTACTAAAAATATAGACTTTCCTAATGACATTCCCCCTATCGTATGTGTATATATATAGCAGAAGAATGTAGATATGAAGAAATGTTCTAAAGGTAAATTAAGCTGAAACTCCTACATGATCCTACAAAAATTAAGTTTGACAAAGACATTTCTTTCAAAATGAATCATGCAGTAAAATTAAATTCTCACTTAACATTTTTTTAAAGAAGGTTTTTTAAGTTTTCTGAAATTTTTTCTGACTTAACAGTCCTCAAAAAAGGTACACTTTTATATACACAATAGGGTTAGTGGAACTGTGCACTTGCTTACAGGTGAGCATTGCAAGCTTGCTTGTCTTTGGTGATACGAGGCAAGAAAGATTTATTCAAAACTTCAGAGTTATATGCTAAACCTCTGAAATCAGCATTACAGTTAATCCTCAGCAGAGCAAGGACTTCATGTAATCGAAAAAAATCTACTCATATGATGAATTCTGGAAGTATGCTGAAAGCTCCTTCCATTTCCTTTCTTCTTTCCTCATAACAGTTTTGGCCATAGTCTAGAAAGAGCACTTAAATACAGCAAGGAAAGATGTAACACATGGGGACAACAGTCAATTAAAAAGAAAAGAGAAGACAGAAAAGGCTTATTTGCCCATGTATTTTCCAGGTTCTTGATGAAAGTGTTTACATTTTTAAAAACACTTCTGGTGATTATTTCCCTGGGAGATTCCAGCAGATTTGAAACTGGAGGTAGGGCAACTTCAAAGTTTTGAGAATCAAAGTCTAATAAATACCTTAGGACTAACTGAATTGTCAACATCTGGAGAATGTAAACACTAAAATATTTCAGTCAGGGAACAAGAAAAAGTCTAAGAAGAATGCAAGTAGGTTTTAAATGCCTACACAAAACTTCTGCCAGGCTAGAACTATCAGATTTCTAGAACTGCACATGAGTTCTTCATCTTTACTGCATGGCTGCAGTGAGTACAATAACTAGATCATTTAAGGTAAGAATTAAAGTCAGAATTCTGTTCATCATAACAATGAAAAATACAGTACAAAAGTGCTAAAATTATGATGAGTGAGATTCAGTAACAGTGTTGACTTAATCATTACGTAGCCATAGAACTTGGAAAAACCGTACTGGGACATACCTAACTGGAAAAGCATTGTGCTCCACCACACTCCTAAAGCAGGTAACACTTGCAAGAAAAACTGCAATTACCTGTTACAAATATCAGTTCCCAATATCTGAATGACGCAGCTGTTTCAACAGAATTTTGTAGTGAAAATGGCTTTGGACATAGAATAGAAAATTCCAGATTGACAAGCTTGGATTAATATTTGTGTGAATTAAGAATAACTCAGAGAATCATGAAATGCAGCTATGAATGGTAACATGAAAAAGAGCGTCCTGTCACATACATTTAAGTAACTACTCTTGCCATTTTCTGCTTAGAAAAAAGCATAAATACCCATCTTGTATCAGGCTTATAATCATACCATTCATATGAATTTTCAGTGAAAAAGTTGGGCCGCACTTACATTTTTCCTTACTGCTGTTACTGTTATGTAAAAAATCCCCATCCGAACGCATCGTAGGGAAATCATCTTCATCATCTTCTACCACTAAATTTGAAAGAGAGTGTGTTATGGGAGTGAGAAACATTTCCAATTGTCTAGTGTACAAGAAAGAATTAAGAGTATCTTCATGCCTAAACAGCATTTAAGATTTTTTCTTATAACAACAATCATGAACACCCCCCCTCTTCATTTTTTGCTCTTTTCTTTTAT